TGACTACACAATGACTGCTTATGCATTTGAATATATGTTTGAAAATATCTGAAATTAGGGGTGTGTGATAGACTTACCTCCACGTAGTGCACTCTGGGCAACGTATACTCATACGGCAAAAAAGTCTATTAACTGGCGATTGACTTCTGACGCAGTACTCATCCTACCTTTTCTATACCTTCATGTCTGTCTCTTTACATCTGCAAATCACTCTTCTGTTCCCCACCCCTCGACTTTCTGTTACTTTGATATTCCTTCCCCCTGTGAAGCCCGAAGTCAGCTAAAGGGCTAGTGATAACTATCAAAACGCCTGCCATTTGAAATAAATAAATAAATATCTGAAATTAAGTTACCAAATGCTTGGAAAATGCTAAGAAAGAGGATAAATGTATATATTTAAGTCTGAAGGATGTCCCACTATGCGTTGACCCTTTAGTTATAACACGGAATTTTTCGTCTCTATGCGACTATGGCTCAACCCCCATCTAGCCCATCTAGATGATTATATAGGTTTTTTTTTATTAAACTACCTTATTTCTTCACCGAAGTGCATCTACATTCATACTTCCAAGGGCGTGTTTGCCAAAGTAATTGATACAAATAGCAAGCATTGGGAGGGTGAGTGAAATTGCGATGCGCGTGACAGAAACAGTATACACTGAAGACAATTTCGGACAATGCTTCAATAGACCAAAGCAACAACGTTGCCAATGAGAAAAATCAATGGCATTAGCGAGAATAAACATACCCCTAAAAGGGAAATATATCAAATGGATCAAATTGCATTCGAATAACCAGAAAAATTTAATCGAGAAAGCTGTATTAATATCACTGAAAGTGGACAAATGGAAAGTTTTCTTTCAGGCAAACATCAAGAGAAGAAGGCAGTAAAAAGTCATCACGCCTTCTAAAACTTTACGAAAGGCAACTATCTTAATATTAAGCGAATATTTTATAGTACAAGATGCTTTGAGTGCCTGAAAGGCAAATAGTAGGTGGGCTGATATTGTGCAGTAATTAACTTGTGAGGTAAACTCCATCGAGCAAATCACTTCTAAATCTATTAAAAGTGATTAAAGTGGCCTCTTTATCGATCAAGGCCAATCGATTCAAGAATAAGTACCTTCATTACTTCATAAGTACGGAAATATCCAATATCGAGCTTTTATAAAAGTCACCTAAAAAAGTGGTAGTACAAAGCGCTAGCGAACCTTGAGAGCAGTGACAATAGTCTCCTGATGTTTCTTTACTGCCTCGTGACTGAATTCACTCGTTGCAAGAAGGCAGAGCGATTCGAGAGCCAAGTAGCGGAGATTGGTTTCTTTGTGCTGAAGGAATTGACCCAGTTGGTTGCAGGCACGAACAAGCAGCTTGCGATCGCAGTCCATGTGAATGATGAGATTGATCGCCTCAAAGAGAACGGCATTCTTGGCGTTGGGGTGCTGAACCTTCTTTGACTTGGGCGGCTCCTGAACCTTCTTCAAGATGGTATCCAAACAGTCGGTCAAGCGGCAGCGGACTGTTGTGTTTTCTACAAAGGCAAGACCAAGTAGGTTGCTCCCATCAATTAATATTTCCAATTTGTTTTCAGTTACTAATAAATAATCAGGGTGAATAAAACATGAAAACCGTCTGGCTATAGAAATTAATATAAGTTAAAAGCCAACTTAACTGACGAAGGAAAAACCAGAACTAACTCAATTTTAAATAAAACTGAATACTTTAGAATTAATGTAGACTAGGAAAATTGGGCCAAGTAGGTGCAATTTCTTTCAACGAAGGCCTACCACTTTAGCTGTGCCTTTTCGTGATATAAAGGATTGAGGGCCACAGTGTTAAAGTGCCATTGTTTACAAGTCAGACACACATAAAAAGTGTAACTTAACCAAAAGGATAGCAAAACACTGGTTAGAAATTAATTGATCGACGTATATTTGTACAAATCGAGAGACAGTTGCCAGCCAAACTTCCTCTATAAAGAATTATTAAATTTAGTAGCCTTCAGCTTCACTGAAAGGTATCTCTGAGGTAGAGACGATCGTTGAAAAAATAATCGTGATAAAATATGGTACTTTTACGTAATTGTATGAACGATTAGCTGACAGTTGCACACCTTGAAGGCAAAAGATACGTCGGTCTTAATTAATAACCAGCTACGATTTTTTGACAAGAGGGAAAATTAAACATGATTTTATACTACAAATAATCCCTACACATCACTCGAATGGAGGCAAGTCCCATATAGTAATGACCTTAACGAATACAACACAAGCCCGAATCAAACACGTTACAAATGACAAAATCAAATCATATGATGAGTGACAATAGCAGCTTAAGCGATAAAGAAATCGTTGACACTACTACCGAAATTCCTGATTTAGCAATCTACTCCCATAAGAACTAAATTATGGATCGTGATATTCATGAAGTTCTGGAAATTAAAACTTGATAGGCCATAGAAAATGAAGTGAAACAAAGCTTTAAAAAGATCATACCGGGAGGAGGATAGTTTTGCAAAAGTCGAAGCAGCTTAACCGACAACCACGGTGCAGTCACGAAATAGTACGTATAGTCTTGTAGATCCGTGTAAGATGATGTTATCAACTAGAGATCAAATAATGTAGTCAAAACCAGAACAATAATTCACAAAACAATCCACAATAAAGGAGACAAAACTCACTCTGCTTAATCGAGCAACAGCAAGAGGAACACAACTCTTGCATTCTTCTGGATTCCTCTTAATTAACTCCTCGATTAGACTGACAGCAGAGGTCACAACACCCTGGAATTTCAACAAGATACCAATAGCAACCCAGTATCACATGAATAGAGACAAAATAGAGCATATATACTCACCAAATGGGGGTCATTGAGAAGATGAATTGCACGGGAAATCCAATCAAGATCGGTCATTTGATCCGGAGCAACACGAAGTAGACGTAAGAGACAAAGAGCAGCGTTTTGTTTGATCGAATCTGATGTCTCACTAAAGGAAAAAGATTAAATCAAGCGAGGAAATAAACCTAGAGACCAGCAGTTTGGGGATCTCTGATCCAAATTGTTCGGCCATTTCTCGATTTCCGATATTGGCCACACATTGGAGAGCAAGATTAACAAAAGCGGGGTTGCGGCCAGACATGTCATCACGAATACGGCTTATGACTAGGTTCATCAGAGGGTGGGTATCGTTTAGGAGGACGGATATGAATAAATAACCCTACGAAATGACCATTGATTTATTACTAAACATACAATCTGCTTCTCTGTATAGCGATTGGAGCAAAGAAGATTGACGGCCTCAGTGTACCCAAAATCAATGTCATGTCCAAGAAGAAAAATGAAAAGGAGTTTGCAAACATACTTCTTTTTGTGATACCCATCAAGCATTTTATCACCTTAAAGGAAATAGAAAATATGACTAGATAAGACTGATACAGTTTTAAAATAATATTCCGAATTAAAATGGTCCTTGAATAAGAAATTGAAAATCAAAATAAAAGAAAATAATAAACGGGCTTTACAAGAAATCATAAATTTTATAAAATTGCAAACCCTTGAATTTCGATCGAATATTAGCAAGCTCCTTATTAATCCGTTTTATTTCAGCTTCTTTGCTCTTGCAATTTCTAATATCTGAAATGAAAACAGATAATCCCCGCATCGAATCCCCTTTAGGCGCCGGCATCTTCTGCTATTAATATAAATTGTGCGGATTCACACGAGCGAACATAAACCCAAAATTTAGAGCGGCGTTAAAGTAAGCAATCGTAATGTAAGCTTAATAAAAGTTTGCAATGATGCATTTTGTTGAAGTTTAAAGTAATTTTAATAATTTAAATTTTTTGTATTTCAAAGCACTTATCAATGCTTTTGATAATGGTATTTGGAGGCAATTTGTGAGTGATCGCACAAGCAGCAGTTTTTATTCTTAACAAAAATAATTTTCTAACATGTTATCACTGTTGAATACTCTTTTTATTAGACGACTTACATACACTTGAATTTTATCTTAGATGGCCGTGTGGGCAAATTTCGTTTCAGAAAATTCAATAGATTTTATGATCCTTAGAAGTATATATAATTCAAATAAAATCCGAATTAATTTTTTTTAATTCACACAATATGCTCTATTTAATAGAAAGCCCGCTGATTGCAATAATAAATATCTATTAAACTTAAAAATTTTATATTAAATTCAATCATTTCCTAACTTTGCTTCATGCACCTTATTTATCCCCATTGATCATTATTCAAGCAAGTAGATATAGCAAGTTTTGGTATTAATTATCGATTATCTCTTTTATAAATGCGCAAATATGTATAAATTCAATCATTTCACTCAAGCCACTCATTATCTAATTCCACAAGTTATAATTTAAAGGAGCACTGCATTATTCTTAAAGCAAAACGGGTAATATATGTTATTTAGACATCTAAATTTTTTGGTAAATTAAAATATTCAAGTTCGCGTTCATATGTCCGGAAAAAACTTTGCGCCACTTATTATTGAATCCCTGTAGGAAATATATTTTACTATCTTTATGATTGCCATAACACTTGCAGCATTGATACTAAAAGAGAACAAAAAGTCAAAACGATATTGACTTACAGTGGATCATCAATCAAAATGTTCAAATTTTGATAAAGTGGAACTATTAATTATATGCTAATTATTCTGCGAAGATTTTTCTGGCTGCTTTTAGGGAGAACTCTAGCATTTCACAGGATAGAGTAACTTGATTGATTAAAGGCAAGCCATACGTTGGAATATAAAACCTGGGAAAATGAAGAAAAAGTATACATAGGAGGAATTAAAAAACATATAATTTCTCCAGATTTTTTCATACAAAAGAATTTGTCACTTTTCTGGAAATTAAATTAAGCAATAACGGTAGTAACATTTCTAAATGCTCTCAAAATTTCTCATTTTTTGGGGCAAGGAAAACAAAAAAAATACTAATCAAAGTTTAAAATGTATGCATCCCATTTAAATAAAACTTTGTTAAAGGGTGAACAGTTTTCATATCATCAAATAGAAAATTTTGTCTTTAATGGTACACTCGTTCACGCAATGCCAATTTTTAACAAGAAATGAATTCTTTAATTTTAAATTAATCTTAAAATCTGTTTATTAAAAAGCAATATTAGAAGTTTTTCTCTAGATTTATTAGAATCGAGCATGCTTCCAAATTTCATCTGAAATATTCTTGAACGTATTTCAACAAAAAAATAAGACCAAAAAATGAGCTCATAGCTATGTCAATCCATGCATACTTAGTTGGAATTTGCATAACTCTTCGTGAAATGTTGAACACTTATGAAAAAATATTAATTGACTCTCTAAGACAAATAAGTATTCAAAAATATAGTTCTAAAATAGACCTAAACAACATGAGCTAATTCTATTTTTTGTTGGAGATGAACAAGCAACGTGCTAATTACAAATTTTTAACCATACAAAATATTCTGATTCTAAATGTTAGTAAAACGAATATTAATTTAATCCACTTGGGTATTTGGGTTTAACATGAATTTGTTGTTATAAACATCTATTAAACAACTGCTTATAAGAGAGTGAGTAAAATCCATTGAAGTATTCTTCTTTTAAAAATTTAAGCAATTAATATGGCATCTGTAATGATATATTATATACACCTGAAATAATGTATTTCATTTTAAGACTCTTTTGTTTTACTGCCTAGTAAATGTTTATAAAGGGTCAGACAGACTATTAGTGGGATTTTTGGCTCCCTACTTTCTGTGTTAGTCAGTTACATTAAAGTTATTTGTGATAATCGGTTGAACTTGAAAATCAAAATAGATTATTAATTCTTTACCTGTTTTGCATTTATGTATTTTTGATATTGTTTTTTATCTTGATTTATAAATCAAGAAGATTAATTTCTCACAATTTATGCCTTTGTACGTAAATTAAACTTCCGCTCTCTTTATAAAGTTCTCTCATGTTTCCAACGGAACTATGACATTGACAATGGATTCTCGTAAATTCACACATATGGACTCTCTTCGTTTTGATTCTAGGAAATGTGACCCATTACCCTCCCTTCGTTCCTTCTATGCAACTGATACAAATGTGAGAAACGGGAAAGAATTAAAGCATATTCATTTAATATTTTTGCCTTCATTACTTTTTAGTTATTATTGAGATGAATTTTTAATTTTATTACTTTTCTATAATAATAACTTGCTATGTTAGCAATAATTTGTGTTTTTCATTATAAACGGCAGAAAATGAATGACTTCCCTTAAAAGTCTGCGTTTTTCTAACTAAATTATGGATTTGCCTTTATTAACTAATGTTGAGAATAATTAAAAGATGGTTTTAAGGACCATATTTATTTATTTATATTTTTATAAATAACAAAGAATCAGTAAATATCTTCCTATTCATTTACATCGGTTGTGTTGGAATTATTTGCATAGCTTTCCATATCCATGGTATTTACAGTAATCAAGATCCATCTTTTCAATTGCTTGCAATTTGGAGTATAAATGTTTAGAACTCGTAGAAAAGTGGACTTCTTCACTTTTCTAGGAACAGGGGGAGTCCCTCGAGGATGCAGAACATTCTCTCATATGGAGAGCTGCCAGCCCCAAAGACTTGCCCTCAGAGGCAGTGATGCAGATTATGACGTCGCAACTACTTGACCGGAAAGTTGTCGCATCCATGACCGGGCCTGACAGCGGTTTTCAGGTCGCTCGCGAATGGAAGGACAAGAGCATGTCAAAAACACTCGTCTGTGGAACACATGGTATTACTTTGAAAATTTCTCTTAATTATGACACAAATTTTCATATAGTCTTGCTTTTGGGTGTCTTTCCTTGCTTAACGAAGCATACCAATATATGCCGCCTTTTTATAAAACGTCAACTCTTAAACTATTCAAGCACAGTTTCTAGAGAAAAATGAATAAAAATGTTAATTCCATTGTTTTTTTAGTGGTATAGCAAACAGATGTTGCATTGGTTTTTCTACCAAATAAGATTGAGTTATCCAAATGAGAAATTAATGAATATTCCAGTGCATTTACACTTAATAAACTATGCACCAAATACTACACAGATGAGCACGAAAATTAAGCCAGAAGGCAAAGAAAAACCTCTATTTAGCTCCAAAATTCATTAAAACATTAGAATGCAGCTAAAAAGGGAAAAAATATGCACTTAATTTTTTGCCAAATGCACATATTTGCTTAACTTAGTCTTTGTAAGAAAAAGAGAACGAACATTCACTCTGTCTACGACACTCAGAAGTTGTGAATGCCACCTGTGTCTAGTTTGTTTTTTTTCAAAAATTGTCGGATTTGTTTCCTGAGTGAGTAATAGGCTCTGGAATTGACTAAAAAATTAATCATTGTAGTTTTTGTGGACAATTGGAAGGAAATTCCACACCCCCGCGCATTCGGAAAGTCAATTTCCCTTTACGACACGAATCCAATTACTGGCCGTACTTCCGGTAAGATTTTTTTCCATTCAGACAATTTAAACAAATACTAATACCTATACGAAGAGTCGAGTTCAATTTGCATATAAAATTAGGTCACTGAGTGGGGTGATTCGAGCCGGCCTTTCCTCATTAAAATTCTGTAGCTACCTCATTTCACATCTAGGTCCGCTTGAATTTACTCAAGCCCAGACCCTAAGTGACCTGAAGAGTGGGTTATTTGAGCAAAACCAAACGTTTTATTTTTGTGGTTGTTGGCCAATTGTTGATAAAAATTTTGTTATGCTACTGTCGTTTATGGACAGATTGTTGTGGTGAAGGGGAGATATGTGTTTTAAAACAAACTAGCATTTATTTCCAAAATAAAGCAGGATATTTTTCAAATTAAAAATTCGGTTTAATACATTTTAGTTGACAGCAATTAACTTTTCCTCTGACTATGCTAGTAAAAGGAAAGCTGTGTCGTAAATTTCTTAATGACTTTTTTACTTTGTTCTCGAGGGCATTAAGAGTCAAAATTTTTCCAATCTGAGTAGATTTTTTGTGCATTATCCAATGATGATTTGTGTGGAACTGCTAGAACTTTACTTTTACACCGTTTAAGTGCTTCCTACTATTAATCAGTTGAATCACAGTTCACACATCTGTGATTTTTTTTACTTAAAGTAACCACTAAGACATTATAGAATATAAATTACTTCAAAATGGCCTCCTTTCACTGCTTTTAGTTGACTATACATTGTGAAGGTCAAATTTCTCCCAACGGAGTAGATTTAGCTGCTTACGACTCAATGATTGCTCCACTGCTTTCCTTAAAAGGTAAAAAACTTGACATATTTGCATATGCCTAGTTTTAAGACACTGAAATCATTTCATCACTAGGTGTGAGTAACACTCAACTGGAAGAATCTGTTGATAGAAATCTTTCAAGTTCGCTTTCAATAATAAATGAGCTCTCTCCCTAAATAAAGTCTTACGAGAGGCGTATTACTCAAAAAACAATGAAAGATCTTCCTTTCTGCTGCCGAATACTAATAATTGAAACAGACAGTTTCAGTCTTGTTAAGTGCATTTTTTATTCACAAATCTAGCTCACCTTAATGACTAATTTTCAGTGAATCTATCACGTACTTTTAATCCTATTTTTAGTCTAGCGTTAGTTGCATGATTTCTGGTGTAGGTTAGTTTTTTTACGCGACTTTTCATCCATCCACGAAATCTGTCATCTACTAATGACACTGAATATTCGCGCAAACATAATAATGAGGCTTCCAGCAGTGATTGTCACTTTGTCATTCAGTTTTGATCTGTACTTTTATGCTCGACAAAAACGATTTGTCGTCACTTCAAATCAAGTTAACTAGCTGCTAACTATCTCCATCTACCCGTTTTTTGCACTCTTTTTATTACGTTAAATTAAATTTCATTTAATGATCAATAATAGGCATTCACTAATTGTAGTTCATTAAAACCCTTTCATTCCCCTGATAAAATAACTATCTAAAGTTTGCTGATATTCTTTTCATTCACCTGAACCACATTTAAGGAAAACCTATAGCTCCACTCGTCTTTAGTGAATCTGACAGATTTGCTTACAGCCTAACGACAAGTTGATCCAAAATGCCACTATTAATGGATCGAGAGCAATCTACTGAAAACAATTAGCAGAAGGTCAGTGGTTCTGAATAAGCTCAGCTTATGTGTTTTTAGAACGCAATGACGACGATAACACCTTTCCAAGTAATAAATGATCTGCCTTAATTAATCAATATTATTTCGCTTCAGATTAAAACGGAAGTACGAAACGCTTGCTTACTTAGCTTAGTTATTAAAAATGCCGCCTACAAATTCAGTACTATTCCACGAGAGGATGTTGAATCCTGAGGTTCTCAGTCAGGGTAAATGCGAGATCAAGAGGGTAGTAAACCCGGATAAGGTCACAAGATCAGTGCTCATAGGAGACTAACAAGAGCTATGGGAAGAAAGCACTTCCAGAATAAGTTCTCAATTTTCAAATAATCAAGGGGCATAGGTATCAAATGAAATGAAATGCTTGCATCACGCTTTGCCAACGTGAAAAATTGCCTCAATTCCACATTTATATACACATTCAGGTTTGCTAGTAATATGAATCGAGTTTAAAGTTAATATAATCCATTTTGGTTCTAGGTGACCCAATTGCAGATGCCTTCGTTGTGAAAGTTCGCTCGAACAGCGCATTCATGGCGGTTGCCGACGGTGTGAATTGGGGCGAAGCTCCGATGCGTGCCGCTCGATGCGCGATCAATGCTGTCTATGAGCACTTGGAAACCAATTTCCTACTTGGAGGACCACAAGCGCTCAAAATTCGCAACACTCGGGTAGGTTTGCATTCAATTCCTGCATTACAATGTCAGATGTGTTCTAAAAAGCCAAATATGAATAGTACTATCTATCCAGGTCGTTTGGTTGCAGCGCTTGCTTACATTCGTTAGGTCTTTAGATTTATTTACTCCTTAGGGCGATAACATTTTGGCAACTGATTGGTACCGTCAGATCTTTAAAAAATGAAGTTGAAATGGGCTCCGTTAAGCATAGAATAGGTATTTTTGGCCTCTTGTTACTTTTTCCATGACTTTAAAGGGGAGAACGGTTATAAGTTGCACACATTTTGACATAACTCTACCAGTGCTTCGTTTAACGAAAACATGAAATTTATTATAGCAAAAAATGTCATTCGTCAACACTTTCAATGCCAAATTCATTTGAATGAACAAATTGTTCAATTTATAGGTGAATTGAAGCATTAATTGAATGAAACGCCCCTTGCCTATGGCCTCGTCCATAAATACCCGCTTGGGAGTAGCAGAAATTTATAAACACAAAATAATAATCGATTTAATCAGCCTCCCATCATATTAATGGGCTTCTAATAGCCCATTAATTAGTTCCTATTGAAACAAATGTTTACGGTAAGCCATTTGCCATTAACATTTACCTGATCAAGCCTGTAACTGCCTCCCTAAGGGAGTCTTGTTTCAATTCGTCTTAAATTCGTGAATTTCATTTTAACGACTATGTCTCTCATCTAGGATACGCATTCGCATGCTTTTTTCCCCTCTATTCTATCAGAAATGCAACTCGGTGGAAAAGTAAAAGGGCTTTAAAGCAGCACATGCTATCAAAATGTAACATTTTGATTAAGTAAAAAGTGTGTTTGGAAAGAAGAGGGAGAGTCGTTACTGAATATTAATGTGAGTGAACGAATTTATTTATGTTTGATGTGAATTTAGAAGGGTTGAAGTTAATGTTTATTTCTTGCGTATTTTTTTAAACTCTAATTGGAGTGGAAAGGCTAGGCTTTTATTTATAATATGCACATTTATTGAATAAAGTGGTAGCATATATTTTACCACATGGAGAGCTGGATAAGGCAAAAGTGTTTGGTAAAAGACTTATATTGAACCTGGCTACAACTTTGAGACTTTAAAACTTAATGCCACCGGAAAGTTAGTTATAATGGCAGGCGATTTGATAGTTATCATTAGCCCTTTAGCTGACTTCGGGCTTCACAGAGAGGAGGAGGAACATCAAAGTCACAACAAATCGAGAGAGGGAATAGAAGAGTGATTCACAGATGTAAATATGACAAACATAAAGGCAGAGAAAAGGTGAGATGAATACTCTGAAAGTGGTGGAATATGGCATACAATGGGGTCATGGTAGTCTGAATTCAGCAGCCGGTTTATAGATTTCTTGCCGTATGAGTGTACGTTGCCCAGGATGCACCACGTGGAGGTTAGTCTAACGCCCACAACATGCTACCGGAAATAGAGCTTTGTCAATTATTGCGTCTGAGATATATCGACTCCGCAATTAACAAAATATCATCGGCTTCTTTTTTTCAGAGTTTCGTCAGTCTAGCACTTCACTGTACTCATTTTAATCCTCTCGGGGAAGGTTTATGCTTTAAATAACAGGATTGAGATTTTCGATTCTTTCAGCCATGTTGGCTGATTTCAATGGCTTGCCGATCAAAGTGCCATGGGTCTCGTCTTTTTGTATGCTCTCTTTTGAGTAATATATTTCTTGATGGGTCAATAACTGTGGGTACCGTTGAGAGCAAAATTAGTATTTATAAGATTTATTGAGAGCAGGCCAGCGTAAAAATCAATCTGGATGTCGAATTCTCTCAGTTCTATAGTTCAATGGGGTTTTATCCGATTTTTCCGAAAATGCTCCATTTTTTTAATAATAAAACGAATTCAGGCTAAATTATCAATAAATAATGTCTTTCGTTATTCAAATGATGTAGAGTGCACGCGTAATTTGAGCTGAATAAAAATTGAGAATAATTTAGCTCGGATAAAAATTCACAATTTTTGATTCGAGCGGAAAGGGTCTCCATTGCAGTTGCGTGTCTGGGAGAATAAAGCGCACTTCCGCCTTCTTGTCGAATTTCTTTAAGTGCCCAAAATTAGCAGCAGCTAATTTATACTACCGCCATAGTTTGGTTTAAACCCAAAGGGCAATTCATGAAATGTTTGAAAACTGCTCATTTGCCCTTTATCAAATGATTGGCTGTCTGGTTAGCGAATAATTTGCAGCGACGTTTTCTTCGTAGGCGGTCTGTTTTTTTAGCAAGTAATTCTGCATATTTATTTATTTCAAATGGAAGGTGTTTTGAAAGTTATCATTCGCCCTTTAGTTGACTTCGGGCTTCACAGAAGGGAGGAACATTAAAGTCACAAAAAATCGAGAGGGGGAATAGAAGAGTCATTCACAGATATATAAGAGACAGACAGATACAAAGGTAGAGAAAAAGGTAAGGTGAGTACTGTAGAAGTGGTGGAATATGGCATACAATGGGGTCATGGTAGTTTGAAGTGAAAAGTCAATTGCCGGCTTATAGACTTTTCTGAAGTATGTGCATATGTTACCAAGGATGCACCATGTGGAGGTAAGTCTATCGCACACCCCTTAATTCTGGAAATAATCTTCACTATCTTTCCATCCAAAAGACTAGTTATACATATTTTGTCGCATTCAAGAAGATTACATCACTCTTTATTAAGACAGTTTCCAATTCTACCTTATGATCAACATATATTCCAATAAAATGTAATTCCCTCCTCCTTTAAAAGTGCCTATTTATTTCAGGCTTTAACTTCTGTGCAAAATAAAATAAAAGATATTTTTTTCTAAAGAAATTCTTTTAAGGAAACTGACAGTTGGCACTCATTGGCTAGCATTCATTTTCTTAAAAATAGCCAAGGGGCCGTGTATGGCACTAGGTTGTGTGTTAAAGGAAAGACAGGGCACTTATTTCCCAGACAAGTCTGCATGAAGTGGAGTGGAAAGGAAATAGGACTGTTGTAAGTGGCAAATAATTCTTAACTTGGTAGTAGAGTGCTAAAAACTGCAAGGGCTGAAATTTGTTTTAAAAGAATTCTTTCTTTAAAAACTCATAATTTCTTGAATTTTAACAATTTAAGGTGAAACGCCTTGTTGCAAAATGCTCAACTTAGGTTACTTGAAACTTTCCTGAAACCACTCTGAAACGAAACTCCCCCTTAGCCACAACTTTTGTTGACAAAAGATAACCACTAGAGTTGGCCAATCGCAGCATTGGACGTGAGCCGATTGCCAGTGATCCTGTGACCTCTGATTTCACATATATAGGAGATGATCACTGTGCTACCGGCGTAGGATAATCGATTTAGATAAATACTCCTAACGCATATATTTATTTTAATAGGTGAACTAAAAGTACTAGAAACTTAGCCTAAAGTAAACATTCCTTCACAATTTCAAGACGTGTCAAAGCACTTTAGTTTCGTTTGCTTAGAAATAGAGTGATTGCATATTTTATCCATGCTTCAGGACGTCGTCGACTTGTTGTTCTCGGCCTTCAAACAAGCTCATTTAGACATAGTTGCGCAAACTCGGGGTCTGACAACTCTCTGTGTAGGCCTTCTTCTTCCAGTCCATATTGGCGAGCGTCATCGCCACTATCATCGACGTCATCAATCTGGACAGTCTTCTGGCCACTCAGCTGCGTCAACTTCGTCTTTGACAACTGAAGAGGGCACTACCACTACTCATGCCCTAGTAGTAGCCTCTGTAGGGGATTCTCAAGTTTTCATTCTTCGCGATGGAAATGATGCCATGGAAGTCACTGGTTGGGTTCCACCTAATAATGGTTCATCAGGAACCGATTGTGAAGCTGAAGGTCCACCTGAACGAGATTTTCGAGACGCTGGAGGAGCACTTGGACCAGTTTATGAGTCAGGGGAACCAGAATTGCAAAATCTTATGTGTGCGGTCTCCATATGTAATCCGCGAGATCTTATCATTTTCGGGACTGATGGACTAACGGATAATTTTGATCCAGTGATCGTACGAATTGCCATCCCACGAGCGCCAGATATCTCTTTTGCCGACGAAAATGATGGAGGAGAAGAAGATACCGCTCTTTCATCTGATTTGTCTAAATCGCATTTCACATCTACTAAAAATTGGTCCAAAATGACGCCTATAGCCAGCCCTTATTCTCTCCCAATTTGGCCTAAACCTCCTCCACCTCCACCGTTATCAAATTTACCAACTCCTGTTGTACTGTCATCACCTGCGCACGACTTTTCCTTCCCCCCAACCAGTCCAGACACTGTCAGCGCGCGCAGTCTGAATTACACAAATCAGTTAGAGTTGACTTGGCCGGAGCGTAGGAAGTATGTTTCAAAGGAGCTCACTCGAATATGGTACGAACTTGAACGCACAGGGTGTGGCGAGGTCTCCGCAGTCAATTATGGAGAAGCCCTTCTGAAGCATGTTAAACGAGTGACTGCTCAAAAGCGCCAGTTCCTCGAAGCTCCAGAAACCACCAAATTGAAGGCTCAATTCTCTCGATACATGAGAAAAAAGAATTCCCTTCGCGAGAATGACAGACCACGCGGCACCTCTGCAGCTACTGGAAGAAATTCCATAGAGGAGATGGATAAGGAATTGTGTGAACTAGAGCGCAGACGAGCATGGCTTATGGATTCAATGAGAAGAATGCCAGGGAAGCTGGACCATGCAACGGTGGTCGTTCTACAAACGGGCTTCAATTGAGCCAAAACGAATCGGTTAGCTAGTTAACTGATTCTCATTTCTCTGATTGTCATCATTGTCGTTTATAAACAGTGCGAATGACTGTGATATCACGTTTTCGCCCATAAATGCATTTTTTAGGAAAATGAAATCAACAGCTATTGTGTAAAAATCTAGCCTCGTGTTGTCGCGCTGATGGACCAACGTTAACTTTCTGCATGACTTGGTATTACTTAATAATGCATATTTTTGTAATTTTAACCTTTTGCGTTGTTCAAGTTTGACTGAAATATTCTCTCAGACGTGAATATGCGTTAGTGAAACAGGCAGTAATGTAGATTTTAGCTATAGAATAATATTAACACAGCGATTACTTATTGCCTTAGTAACTTATACGACGTGTCCATGCGATATAATAAATGACATGATAACGGGAAGAGTACATTTGGTGCATCTTAAGTTGAAGTTGCCAAAACCGGAGAATGCATATTAGGCTGGAAATTAAATAGATGTTGGTGGCTTTTGCGATGAATCATTCACTTGGAAATCTCTGTGGGAGAGAAGAGGGCCTTGATAATTGAGCGTTTTATAACACATCTCAGTTGCCCTTTACTAAAACTTCGACTCCCCAGAAGACGGGTGCGAGGATGGGATAGGCATTTTAGCTCAAAGGTCGAAGTTTATTGGCTTAATCAATTTAATTCAATTGGTTTGAATATGCACTTAGTGTTTGGGAATCTGGTGAGCCAACAATTATGAACGTGGAAAATAATAATTGATTATTAAGTAAATGAGAGATATAGCTTACAAGGTTCTGCCGTATGAATAAAAAATTTAGAATAGGCAACCAAAGTGAGAGAGGTCGACCAGCTTTTGGCTTTAATGTGAAAAAATTTACTTCCACTGTAAATCAGAGCCCAATAATGTCGCTCAACCTCGGGTTAGAGTTGATTAAGGAAGTCTGGGCTATGGTAATAAAATTGTAGTTCTTAGCGTTGAGAAATGTAAAGAAAAACGGGTGAGAAATTTATCATTAAAGACTCCTCTATTGAGTTGGCAATGAAATATCTACATCCAATAATTGAATATTTCATTGCTCAATGCAGGAAAGCAATCAATCAAAGTGGATAAGACATTCTAAAAGAGGAAGGAAGGTGCATTCACAGACTGATATTTTTCTGTACCTATGGCGATGAATTAACATTTTGTTGACTCGAATAAATCACTACAGAACCATATCTATCTTCGTTGTGAAGTAAAACTCTGGAAAGTTTACAGGTGACAGCAAAATACTTCCATAAAAGAGGCCTTAACAATGAAAAGTCAAAAAGGGGTCGAATTAAAAAATAAATAAATTGCAGAATACGGAGACCAAATGCACGAAATGGTATGAAATTGCGCTGGCCTCTCATTTAATTTAATTAAATGAATGCTTTATGGCAAACTCAGTTGATCAGGTATAAGCACAAACGAAAGCTTATTTTCAATATTTATTTATTTATATCAAATGACACGCATTTTGATAGTTATCATTAGCACTTCAGCTGACTTCGGGCTTCACAGAGGGGATGAAACATCAAAGTGAAAAAAAAATTCGAGAGGGGGGGGGAACAGAAGAGTGTTTCAAAGATGTAAAGAGACAGCCGCAAAGGTAGAAAGAAGGTGAGGTGAGTACTATGAAAGGAGTCGAATATGACATACAGTGGGGTCATGGTAGTTTGAAGCCAGAAGTCAACTGCCGGTTTATAACCTCTCTTGCCATATAAATATATGTTTTCCAGGGTGTACCACATGGAGGTAACCCCATTTTTTCATTAGTTGGTTCTGCTAATCTTTCATGCCTTAAGTTCATTGGATGTATCGTAAAATAACGATGAATGAATTCATTAGTCTGCACTTTCAATTCCTTAATCTTTGGCATTGTAAACGAAGTACCAACAATTAACTCATTATTAATATGACCTAAATATATTATTAATGTGATCTGTCGATGCTAGCTTGGCTAGAAAATTCAGGAGGTGGCAAAATCAATCAAAGTGATCTTAAAAATGTGGAAATTTAGTAGTCGCATACATGCAGAATAGTTGCATCCGATTTTACGATTTTTTAACTTCCAACCCTTAAAATACACCTCATTAAGATGATGGCACTCGCGAGTTTTACCTTATCAATACTTGATTATATGTAATCAAATTGTCATTACATGTTAAATATTTATTTTCGGAGAGAAATTTTTTAACCGTAAGAGAAAATGTAGCAAATCCACTGGTCAGAAATACATTCTAAAGTTAGTGATAACAATTCCTAAGATAAATATTTACCAAATCGTCCAGATCGGACCATATATCCAGCACAAATAGGGACAGTTCTAAAAAAAACGAATTCAAATTGAAATTCTGCGCAAAGTAATTGAATAATTGTTTTGTACTTTCAAAATTATTGCAGTTATATCTAAACGAATTTTGTAACCATACCTTTATAGAAAACCAATCATTCGCTTTTATAAGAATGTATTAAACTTTTGGTTAATTTTCAATTGAGAAAGTAAAATATTCCTATTAGTCAGTGTAATATGAGTTAAATTTTATAAGAAAAGAAATAATTAGGGTAGATCTAATTCTTACATAATTTCATCTAAATTGCACCTAATTCACTACTCCTGAAAGCTAGCGTATAAAATGCTTCTATAGAGGACAATTTTCAAGTATTAATAAATACTGATCCGTACTTTGCTATTCAAATATGTTACAAGATTATTAAAGCACCACCTATTAGATAATCTCTGCTGCAGAATCAAATTGATTTCATATTTGTAATAAACTGAACACATCGTACTTACTTATCGATTCATACACAACTTTCGTGCTTTCATTTAATTATCTTTCTGTTAAATGTCAACCGTAGAGAAGTGTTCATTAAAGCCACATTATTTATTATCTAATTTTAAGTAAATCACCAATTGATTATTAATTATTCATAAAATTTACGTCACTTTAAAGTATGCTAGTGTATGGGATAGTTGCTTGCAGAATTGTTTCGCGGATTTTTATGTTTAGAGCCCATTAGGCTACACCGAAGGGGCTATCATTCTGCAACAATATTTTAATGTTTTAGTTATTTTAATTTAATTCTCAAGATACAGATGATTCATGACGTTATCACCAACACCTTGAGTGTGTTCGACTAGGGATATTAGAATATGCGATGAATCACGGTGAATATTTATTTTAATTTGATTAATGTGACTCATTCTTTCGGCCTCCAGATGGATGTCGAAGTTGAAGGTGCATTGGAAATTAAATACGATGTATCCAATAGATAGAAACTGTGCAGTGCTCTTAACTTATGAAATATGTCATCTAATTATCTTCCAAATGACAAGCTATAAATTGATAATGGATTTAAATTACTTATGCTTTTATGTAATACACTTCAGCTTCAATTTAATTAAAAAGGAAATAGGATTGCATGATCTACCGTGAATTCATTCGAATTCTCTTTAATAATAAGATGGAATTTATTGTGAGAATTGATTTAAGAGAGGTAGTATTTGCAACGGATTGCTACTCTTTTGAGCCTTGCTTAGTAATCTCAATAGCACGATCTTCTTGTTTGAAAAGCAACCCGGGATTAGTTGCCCTACCATAACGATAAAGACGTAAATCATGTTACTTTGAGCTGTGTGTATTTGGAGCTTAATCATTAAATACAGTTTGGGCACGATAGCACTGATATGAATACTGATCAGTTCTCGTGACCACATTTGCTCCCTAACACGTTCAGCATCATGTCCTGGCGTTCCAGAATGTTTGAGCGAGCAAGGAATACTTTCGTTCTGTCATTTCACCGTTTCATTCCTCACTCAATTTAATGCAATGAAAATGCAAAATTTAAATTATGGGGATTTTTAATTCGTGTCAATGCCACTTACGCTCTTAATTTTTCGTTGAGTTTCATTCATTTTTTCGTCATTACTATGTGTTTTTAGTATTTTATCGATTTTTTTTATTTCCCATTGTTCTGGTTACTGCTATCGCTTAACATTTTTCTGATAAAAAAGTTTCTGGCACAGGGTTTGACCTATTCTTAGTAATTGAGTTCGCTCAGTCTAAAAAGCTAGTATCTGTAGGCTAATTTTCTTCATATTAAAATGGTTTCTTCTATGATGAAGCCACTCTCCTTACCTTAGAACTACCTTCAAATGCTCAAGTTAAGATTCATTTAAACATCATATGAATCTCAAACTAGTTTCCTAGTTCATTTCTTCTCAAGTAAAGGTTTGGTGAAAGCGTCGTAATTTAGTTTTTTTCTGCCAATAGCTATTTCAATAGCATGACTATTATTTTCGTCTAAGACAACACATTACAATTTTTGGGTCTCAGTTGTTCTTCGTCTAAACTCTAGTTTGAGAAGGAATGAGCAAAAATATCCCTTTATATTTCAACCAATTTGTACACTCGGGGAAGGAAAAAATCATTATTATCCTATATTTTTATATCAATTAGTAGACGCTTTGATAGTTATCATTAGCCCTTTAGCTGACTTCGCGCTTCACAGAGGGGAGGAACATCAAAGTCGCAAAAAAGTGGAGAGGGGAACAGAAGAGCGATTCACAGATGTAATAGAGAGAGACAGGTACAAAGGTAGAGAAAATGGTAACATAAGATGAGTACTGTGGAAGTGGTCGAATATGACATACAGTAGGGTCATGGTAGTTTAAGGTCAGAAGTCAACTGTTGGTTAAGAGACTTTATTGCCGTATGAGTATACGCTACCCAGGGGGTAAGTCTGTCGCACACCCCATCTTTATCATCTTAAAAGTAGGAAACAAATGTGCACAACTTGCGAAAGAATTATAAATTTGAGTATTATTTCTTAAATGCACACAGAATTTTGAGAACGAGTTTTTGCTTTTCCTAAATATGAAAGTTTTGCAGTGCGGACTAGTCATAAGTGGTCAGATTTCAATAAATAATTTATTAATCAGATTCTTCTCAAGTTCGAGCGTTTACTTAATTTAT